GCTGCCTCCCTGTGTGCAGCATGCTCATTATAATATGCAAGTAGCTACGCTCTGATTGGTTCACCTTAGATGACCTGCGCTGTGATTGGCTAGAACGAAGCCCGTTGCATGCTGGGGCGCCCTTCCCCGCGCGAAATGATCTCGAGAGAGCCACATTTACGCTGGTTTCTACCTTATTTCTACGACTAATTAGCAACATCCTAGTGACGAAATGCGTACTCAAAAGAATTTTCGGGAAAAAAAATATATGTACATGTGGATTTGTGGTGCCTTTGGCGTAATTTTGTTGGTCACATACAACGTAATGTAACACGGAAGTGCATGGAGTCGGAGTGGCGGCACGGCTTTCCGTCCCACTCTAAACAAAACTCCAAGGACATAACAAAACTCCCCAAAACTGGTCAATAATTAGCCATAAAAATGTTGGTGGGCACGTGTAAATATGCTGCCTTTTTTCGAGTGTCATAGGAATTTTCCACGATGTTTTTGCACATCCCTAACGTTACCTCACGCCCGCCGCCTATTATGTACGGCGGACCGGGGCATTTATAACTTCAGATAATCTACTGTAGGTTTGCTTATTCGGTGGTAAAATAAGTTAACAGAGAAAAACAGCAAAACAAAGTTGACAAACTATAGAAACGCTTGCCTGGGCAACAGTGACAAAAGAAAATGTCTATCAAATTGAATTGCGCCGGTGATCGTAAAACGTTTTAAACGTTACAATATAGTAAAATGCAGGCTAGATCAACGTTCCTTCCGCTGTTCCAGCGGTGTGTATCGGTAATTTCCCGCCCCGCATGAGGTAAATTAGTACTCCTCCCATTATTCTGTGATGTTACCGCGGCCTGCATATGAATGCAGAAGTCTAACGGAAAAGTAACGGAAAAGTAACGGAAAACTTACGCAAAAGTTACGGAAAACTTACGGAAAAGTAACGGAAAAGTAACGGAAAAAAAACGCGTTAGTAACGGCCGTTAGGGTAACTATAACGCGAACGGTACTGTAATGCCAACATGTAGTTATAATTTGTTGCCTTATGATTCAATGAATATGCTTTGTCAAAAAATCCAATATTGTTCAATATTAAAGATATTACGGTCTGTACTTAAATTTTGGTATCATTTTAATGCACAGTGGGTAATGCTATTTGCTAACCTACATGTATGTGTTCTGTCCCAGATTTCTGATGCCGAACAGAACCTACAATTCAGTTATTCATGGAATGGACTCGGGAGGCTAAAGTTCAAGGTAAACACTGCACTAAGTCAACATCATGCCAGATAGGACTATTTCACGCTAGCAAATTTGCTAAAGGAATGATCCACTGTATTACCTCAAGGGGGCTATATTCGGTTTCATATCTGAACTCAAATTGCATGCAGACACATAAATAACCGTTTTGTACTGATCACAATTTTCAGCCTGTTTCTCATTTCTTATCCCTGCAGAGAAAGAGGATAGAACTGCAACCAGATGGGGCGCCCTCTTTCAGGAAGCTAGTGTACTACACAGATAGTTATAACAGGTAGGATCATTGTTAAATAAGAAGTTGAACACTTGAACATTATACTAGTGTACACATACGTTAGCCATTGTAGATGTAGCAAGATACCATATTCTATATCACAGTAGTTGTACCTAGAATAGCTTTATCACCATGACCTTACTTAGCTTGTAAGTGCATAAATGTACAATAAAAGCCTTTCATTCATTTAATGAAAAAGGTGTTGTTTCAAGTGTAAGAAAGTTCCCTTTTGCTGTGGACACATTCCACTTAGATCAGATTGATTCTGTTCCTAAAAGCTTAAAGATATTGATTATGTTGCCCTAGAATAACAAAGAGGGACATGGGTATTGCAGGATATTGATTTTCCTATAACATGTTCATTGTGGCCTATACTAAATGTCTGAATGTCTTCCTTTTCAGACTTGCTCATACATTTTGTATTAATATATATCTCATATGATCTATGAGGTTGTCTGTAAACATTTATTGCTCTATTGCTCACTGCTCTACATTATTTCTCAGGAGACAGTTAACAATGATATAAGTTGTGTACATACAAACTTGTGATGATGACAATCATACATGTATTGATGATGACTTTGATTTTGCTTTAGGTTTGCTTTAGTTTGTTATTAATTGAAATTGTAGATATTGTGATTGCATGAATTTGTTTTGGTTTGTTTGACACAAAGACTTCATTTAAAAACTGCTGTAAGTTTTTCAAGGCTAGATAAAGGCACAACAACATGTACTACATGTACATTCATACCTTGCTCTTGTACAGGTCTAAGTACCTCCTGGAGTTGATGAAGGGCACACATCAGTTCCACCTCAGGATGAAGCCTAGACTGGACCAGATCAGGAAAATGGAGGCACAAGCAGGTAAATAATCATCAGATAGTAACAAATGAACATTTCTCCCTGACACAGTTAAGTTAAGGATCTGCCTCCTGCAGGAAATTGTGACAATCAGATTCTGAAGTTCATGTGTAGAACTAACAACCACCTCAGTGCTGTACATCAGTGTTCTTTAAGTAAAACTGACGGCCCAGCTGCTAAGCTGGGGACTGGTGTCAAAGCATAGAAAACGGGAAAAAAAATAGGTGTTGGCACACTGAAAGCATGCTTGCTTCTTACCATCATGATCTGACTTCATCTCGTACATGGAATTTGACTGCTTAGTATTTTCCCTGATTCCTTGTTATAATATTATCATGTAAGCAGATAAATATCACAAGGTGTCAGTGACACAAATACTGATGTGTTGGATTCTCCACACTATAGGTGCAATGTAGTACATGTACTGTAATATTTCCTACTAGGGATTTGATTAATTTGCCCCTATGAGAAGAGTGCTGATAAGTGTGATCCTGCCAAGCCGTGCATCTGTTGTCTCTGAACTCAAGTATCAGCATGTGCCAAAAGGGGATGCATAGCGGCTGGCCCTCACTTGACCTTGGCATCCATGCCCAGCGTACAAGAAGTCCATGTTTAATATGGCACATTTGTGTATGATAACAACCAATGTGCACCATAGGGGTAGACCAAGGAAGACAAAAAAAATTTGATCTGTATCAACATCGGAAAAAAATAACTTGTCGGATTAATTCTAATCTTATCATCTCCTTGCCCCTTCCACAGATAAGAGGAAGTACCGTGAGTCGTATATCTACAGCACAGAGCTGGAGTGGGAGAACGGCGTGACTGTTGAGCTGTCCAGCTTCGAGGCCTTCGCCAAGCAGTTCACAGGGAACTCCCTGGGCAGGAGAAAACGTGGGACGTCCCAGTCTAGCAAGGGGAGCTCCAACACATCCGGCATCTGCAGCGACCTCAAGCCCAAGCTGTCAGATGGTGAAGGTTAGTGGTGTTTGTTTCTTCATTTCCATTTTCTTTTAGAAGGGTGGCTCCTTCATTGTTTGGGCACTACTTTTCAGTTCCTAACTTTGTGAAAACCAAAAGACCAAAAATAGATACACTTGATAGCTATATTAGACAGATAATCTTTGCTTTTAAGGCTCTCATTTTTTTGATACCATGGAAGACCGGAGTATGTGAAAGTGTTCACTGCCGGTAGTGTGTTATCAAGACTTAAAAGTCCCTGAGGTAATTTGTGGATGACTAGAATGTCTGCAGCTGCCATGGTGGTGTTTGGTTCAAGTGTTTTGAGTTCTAAGGGTGGCCGTTGGGAGTTCTGAGACCCTCTGACATTGCACCCGCTCTTACTTGTGTTGTAAACATGGGGTGCAAGGTTTCATGCTGTTTCCCCTTTTACATCCCAGCTTCTGAGAAGTTAAGTGAGAAGCCAGAGGAAGACCACAAGTCAGCCAACCACAAGAGTGCTAAACAGGACACACGCGACCACAAAACGGCAGAACATCCTACCACAAAACCTGATGAGGAGGGAGACAGGGCAGACAATGTAGTGGAGGTGTCAGCTGAAGTGCTGCAGTCCTTACCACAGACCATTCCCGCAGAGCATGAACCCAAGAAGAATGGTAAGACTTTCTGTGATGTGCCACACTTGTTTACTCCGGCATAGTGTGATGTGATTCCTGGCGGCAGAGTGGTGCTCAGTAATCCTGCTGGATAACACTGGAGCAGGTTGTAGTATAATTCATTGCATTCCTTACTGATTCTACAAATATGCTCTACAGAAATAACTGGAGAGCAGTGCTCTTTAGTACAGCGAATTTGGACACAAATAAAGACATCTACCATTTCTCAGTCATTCCATATGGAAAACTATGATTGATCTTCTGTGGGCCATTGACCAGAAAGGCAACATGCCATACTCAATACAAACTAGAGGTCCGAGATCTCATGTCTTCGTCAGAGGTACATCGTTCTAGAGAAATTAGCATGCGTATTCTTCAATCTTTTTAATAATCAATTTGGTCTAAAGAACAAAAGAATCTCTGTACTATTTTTATGGTACAGAACACCCTGAAACGGTTTGCCGCAGATTCTACAGATGCGTCGTCACCCGTGTTAGCCCCCCCCCCCCTACGTTATTTGAGTTTGGACTGTTACTGGGAAAAAAAACCTTCAAGAAATTCTTACTGTGTTGAAAGTGTCACGACAGCGCCGCAAAATATAATAAGAGAAGATGTTATAAAGGAAAGAATCAGAACAGGGCGACTACTGCTGTTTTGTTAATTTGTCTTTATGACAAATAGAAGACTTGTTTCTTGTGTTCTTTGTGTCCTAATATTTGTACTTCTCCTCACCTCACCTCACCGGTCCCATAGCAGTCTGTCCTGCCGTACTTCTACAGTTAGTATATTCCAAATCTAGGCATCTCGTTTTTCAGCCCTTCGTGATTTTATTGCGCGCTTGCCTTAAATTTAAGGTAATTAGATTTAAGGTCTCCAGTGGACGTCATCCATAGCAATTACTTGGTGTGGCCGTAGAAAATAACCTGACATATGTCCAACCTATCCTCCCCCTGCTGAAGTTATAGTACAATCCCTCAATGCAACGTCATTTGATCCCATCCCATTATGGGGTTCCCCGGCTATATCCAGCTGTCGGCTGTCTCCAAGCAGATGTAGGTGGGGGATTTCTAAACACAAAAGGTCCTATTACGGGGACATAACGACCTCCACGACTCTCATCTTTGAACTCAATCTTGGAGACCACCACAGTAACATACCTATCAAATTTCATTAACTTCCATCCACACATACAAAAGTTATCCTGCTCACAAGAAAAATTAACAAAATGCCCCCTGTAGTCACAACGAAACCCCCCACGAAGCTCAGTAACGAACTTAACCTTGGTCCCGACAATAGTAAGCACCACACCAAGAATTATGATCAACATTTTACAAATACTTGAGTTATCTTGCTAACAAGCCACAAACACAAAAGGTGCACTAACGTGACGCACGGACCCCCCACGAAGCCGAAACTTGTACTTGACTTTGGCCTCAACAGCGGTAATCTGCCTGCCAAAAATCATGGACGTCGAATCATGCCTTCCAGAGTTATATCGCAAAATCCGCAGTTCCCCACACTCCGGCGAGACAATTTCATAGTCCTTCTGACGAAGACAACAAATATGCAAATAACTTGTGCATTGCATTTTGAGTCAAGCTTTTGTTCCAGTGCCACTAGTTTATCGGTATTTCCATTTAGTCTCATTTGCTTTTATTCCCCCTCCCTACCTACCTGTAGTTCTCCATGTGCGTGACATGGACCACATCCAGCACTACATGTTGACTCCTGTGGAGAGCTCCATCCTACTGGAGGAGACAGCAGAGAAGCCTGAGGAGCCGGCCACTAAGAGGGACCTGACACCGTACACCACCATCTTACTTCCTGAACTAGACTGCAGCAGTGAAGAGGTGGGCTGTTGTTCTACATGTATACTATATACAGTCTATCTCTATAACAAGCTAGTAGAATAATGTTTTACCAGTTTTTTTACATTTCTTTATATCTAACTCCGTATACTGCAGCCTTCTCAAAACAAGCCGGCTACCGGCGAAAATCGCCGCCTACTCAAATTTTTGCGCCGGCTACTTTCGTCAAAATTTTCAAATTTTTGCGCCGGCTACTCTCGTCTAAATTTTCAGAAAAACAAGTAAGCTCCGTTACATTTTCTCACAAACTTCACCGGCTCATTTCTTCTGACGAACTTCAGACAAATTTCTGCTAGCTTTCTGGATCTGAAAACTGCTTCTTTCTTAGCCCCCTGTGCAGATTTCTAGTACACGAGTCAGCGTTTGCTTCTACGAGCGGCCCGCGGCCGGCCAGAGCGGCCGAAACTTTACGGGGGGAGGGTCTTGTTCGGGGCTCGAGTTGTATCCGCGGAGCTGTATCGCTCGAGCTAGGCGGAACTTGCTTCGTAAACTCGTTGCTCACGAAAATTTATCAAGCCGCTACCTTCCCAACTTCTCCCGGCACTAGTAACATTCCTGCTACAAATAACTTAGTACAAATCACGTCAAAAAATATCAAGACATGTATAGAAGCGTGTTCATATCTTTCATACACAGAGAGAAATTTTCACAAACAAATCGCCATCAGCGAGATTTCACAGCTGTTTCATTCATCAAAAGTTCTTGTCGATCGTAAAATGATCACTCATCTGTTGTCTCCACTAGTGTGTCATTTGTAGCGTAATCACGGCTAGCCAAAAATCAGCGTCAAATCCCCGGAATAAAAACACGAACACTCCGCATCGCTGTACAAAAACAGGAGCTTTCAGGCGCCATCTTGTCATGAATATTAAGTAGCAGCGTGCGATCGACGCTCTGATTGGTTCACCTCACATGACCTGCGTTCTGATTGGATAAGCGATGTGGCCAGCAGCCGGCAGCGCGGGAAGATTTTTCTTCGCCGGCAGGCTCTCGCCGGTGAAGAAGAGACACATTTACGCTGCTTTCTACGTTTTTTCTACGACTACTAAGCAACATCCTATTAAAGAAATACATAATTAAAAGAATTTTCGGGAAGATGTATATTTCTCTACGCCGATTTTTGGTCCATTTTCTTCGTAATTT